TTTAAGATGGGGAGGAGGGAGAGAGAAAGGAAGAAAGCAGGTTTCCTCATGGACTGAAGGGTTTTTGTCAGACATGGAAAGGATCAAATCTAAGTCTTCTGCCTCATGTACCCAAAAGCTGAACTCCGAGTGGATCCGAAGGCATCTGGGAGTGATTGGGAGACATGTGAGCCAGCTTCCTGCACACTTCATGGCTGGACCCCAGATTTCCATTTTGTCAGTCATGGAGCCAGGCCTAGGGTTTGGAGCTGCCAGAGCCACTTGGTTTTGCTGAAGTTATCGGCCTTATTTGCCAAATAAGATGGGCCTAAAAACACACCTGTGGCCAACTGCTGGGTCTCCAAGTGGTTTCCGTCAGTGAGCTGTGGGTAGCTTTGGAGCTCCAAGAGGGTAGATTTGGGAATCCTGCCACATTCTTGTGGACACCAGAAGGAGGGAGACATGTAATTCTGCTAGCACCTGATGCCCAACGTTGGCATTCCTGTTTTCTGGCTAGTCAGCCAGCAAAGCGGGAAGAGTGGAGGACTGGGCAGGACAGGATAGGAGTTCAAATCCCAGCTGTGGCAGTTACCATTCACTCCACCCCTTTGGGCCTCTGTTTTCTTGTTTGTAACATGAGAGGCTTAGACCGATTCTCTGAGATCCCTTCTGGCTTCAAAGTAATTGTGTTCATTTTGATTCTTTTCTTTGTACTCCTTCTCCTTTGTTATCCATCATTTAAAGTCTATGCCAAAGACTCCAGGAAGCCTTTCGTGATCTCTCTGGTAGGTAATGAGCTTTCCATTTTGGTTTATACTTTTCCAGTGCACTTAAGTAATGCATTTTATTGCCTCGGCTCTGTCGATTATCTCCTATTCATCTTCTTGTTGGTACGTAGTTTTTTGTGTGTAATCTCTCCCTTTAAACCATGAGCTTCTTGATACTGTCTTTTGTCTTTCTTGTATCCCCAGTCCTTAGCCTGGCACAGGTCTATTGTTGCTGAGCTTAATAAATGTTTATTGGCTGACTGGTTATTGAATGGAGGACTTGTGTCATTTCTTTACTAGACTGTAAGCTCCCTGAAGGCAGGGACTATAGCTTATCTAAACTTTGTATCTTTCCCCACCCAATTTTAGTGATCACTACGATGGTCTACATATAGTAGATGCTTAATTAGCATTTGTTTAATGAATGAATAAACTGAGGCCAATAGTTGAGTAACTGGTTAGTGGTTAAACTGTTAAGACTAGAACCCAGATCCTCCCTTGTCCTTTTCACCAGATACCAGTGCCTTTCAACGTGTAAGTATATATATGAACATTCAGATACACTGGATTTATAGTAGAGTGTACACTTCTTGAGGGCAGGGACTAATTTTTTGATCTTCAATTTATCTGATCTATAGTTTGTACATATGTATATACTTATGTGTGTGTATATATATACCTATATATATATATATATATATATCTTTATACATTTTTATATACTTTGGGTATTGTCTACCCCATTAGATTATAAGGTCCTTGAAAGCAGGCAAGGGAATAAGCATTTATATTGCCTCTACTACATGTCAGGTACTGCGCTGCAAACATTATCTCATTTGGTCCCTGAAAGATCAATGATGTCATTATCTACATTTTACAGGAAACTGAGGCAAACCGAGGTTATGTGCCCAGGGTCACACAACTAGTGTCTGAGCCTGGATTTGAACTCAGATCTTCCTGACTCCAGGCCTAGCATTCTAGAGCAGAGACTGTGGTTTATCTTTGGATCCCTCTATACCCTGACTGGAATGCCCTTCCTCTCTCACCTCTGCCTCTTAAAATCGCCTCTTTTCCTTCCAAGCTGAGCTCAAGAATCACCTTCCAGATGAAGTCTTTCTTAATTCCTCTAGATGCTGAGACAGCTTGATTATTGGGGTGACACTGGGCAAGTCACTGGACTTCGGTTCGCCTCAGTTTCCTCAATTGTAAAACAGAGATAATAATAGCATCTATCTCCTAGGGTTATTGTGAGGATCAAACGAGACGATATTTGCCAAGTGTTGAGTGTAGTACCTGGTGCTTAATAAATACTTGTTCTCTCCCCTTTTCCCTCTACAATTACCTTGTGTTTCTTTATTTTGTATGTACATGTCTTCCATCCGCATTAATTGTAAGCTATTTGGGAACAGAGACAACACAGGCTTTGGTGGGTGAGACTGCTTTCTTACCTACAGTCTAGCTAGGCTTCTGGAACCCAAACTCTAGGCTTATACCTAGGAAAGCTTCCTATAAGTTTAGCAGGACAACGTTGCAGGATTCGTTGTTGGTTTTTTTTTTTTTTTCTTGTAGGAAGCACTGGGGCTCTCCAGGGCCCAGGATGGGCTGGCTTTCCTAGGTTCCAGATGAAGAGCTCCCCATGGAGACATGACTACACACCTCTGAGAATGGAGAGCCTCCGACCATGATCATAACTTTCCCACTGAGTTTTTCCTCTTCTACGTTTCCCATGAGCCCAGGGAACTCTGATTGCCAGTAACCAATTTTATATATCCATGCGGTGTCTTCACAGTGAGGAGATTTATCTCTATGATGAGATTTATTTCCATCATTAAATCAGGACAAGGTTTTAAATCTGATCTCCCCAAAGCATGGAATGGAGGGGGGCTGAAAAGGCTTTAATGTTTTAGAAGGAAAAAAGTCCCATTTCAACCACATCCGGGCTTTGCTTTGCTTGACTATTCAGCTGTGAACATATATTTTTCCAACTTCCCCAGTATTGTGAGGGGAATATAAATGGTAACCATGCTCCTAGGCACATTCCTTTCTATTAATTGGGCAAAGATATTGAATTTTAGCTAATACATAGGGAGCTAAAGGGTAGCATTAAATCTTGTCCTGTCTGCTTTTAGAGCCTTCCTCCAGACATGTTTCAAAATATCTCTGAAGATTTGTGGGATTTCATCATATTATTTACACTTGGAAGAAACCTAGCCCACCTCCCCAACTTTACTGTGAAGAAACAAAGGTTAGAAAGGTGAAGTCACACTGTAAGAATACAATGTTTTGAGCCTGCCAGCATTATAGCACACAGCCTCCCTGCAAAGAAGACTGGGGCTGGCTGTCTCTTGAGTTCAGTTGCTGTGATCTCTGGCAAGATAAGCCGATTGGCTGTTCATACTAATTTTGTCATCAATGTGCTGAGCCCCTGGGAACAGAAATGGGGTTGTCTAATGAGGAGTGAATCAATGCAGGTTGGAAAGGGAATAGGTCAAAGCTTCCATGTTGATCAGAGTGGAATTACAGCCGGGGCAAGATAGCAAGACCTAATTTAACAAAATATACTTCAAAGCTTACTTGATACGTGCACGCTTCACGAGGTGGACAGAAACCAGTCGTTTTTTTTTTGAGGTGTGTCTACCTAACATGGAAACCCATAGACGCAGGGTGCTATTTCCCCTTGGCACAGAAATGGCTGGTTGCTAGATCATTTGGGGTAACCTACCCCAAAGAGTCACTCATTGCTAGCCACGCATTGTCAACCCAAGATTATTCAGAAGATAATGACTTAAGAATGCATACAGGAAAAATGAAATGGATGAAAAATTACTTGTTCACCCTATGATAATGCTGCCAGTACAGCAAGGTAATAAATGAGTGAAAAAACAACTGGTATAGGTGCTGCAGATGGACAATGAATGTAGTGGGAAGAGAGTGGGAGGGTGGTGGTGGTGGTGGATTGCATTTAGAAAATGGGAAAATGATTTAAAAATATCTTTTATTATCAACTTAATAGACATCAACACACACAGACATTTCAAAATACAAAGGATATGAAACTATGAACTTTCATTATGTAGTTGGTTTTTTCACATACACACACACACACACACACACACACACACACATACATTATAGTTCAAATTTCACATGGAAATTCCAGCACTGTCTTGCTTGTCTGAGTGCCTTTCTGAACGTCTGCTGTCTTCTGTTCATTTCTTAGTGATTCATTGTTTCCCTTCTTCTCCCTTTTTAAATATTACTATTACTATTTTTCAGTACCCCTCCTAACTATACTCCTGCATAAATGAAAAATGAAGCCCTTCCTTGTAATTAATTAAGCATAGTCACTCAAAACAAACTCACATATTAACTGTGTCTAAAAATGTATTCCTCAGTCTGCACTTCTTGTCCATTGCCTCTCTGTGAGGAGGTTTGAAACATGATCCATCCTCATTCTTATGGAGTCATGATTGGTCGCTGCATTAATATTTATCATGTGGCTGAAAAATTGGTCTATTGCCTTCTCTTCTCATTTACAATCATCAGAGGTTTATCATAGGTAACTTTCCTAAAATTCTATTCAGGTCTTCTTTAAATTCCTATCTATTTATCTTTTGGTTAGATTTGTCTTGGTCTGAAAGGGGTATGCTGAGATCCCTAACTATTATTTTGCTGTCTATTTCTCTCTGTAATTGGATTAAATTTTCCTTCAAGTACCTAGATGCTATGCCATTTGGTGCATATATTAAATATTGATATTATTTCATTATCTATTTTGCCTTTAAGCATAATGTAGTTTAGATAGATATAGATGAGGAGAGAGAGAGAGAGAGAGAGAGAGATTGAGAGAGCATTTATAAGCACTTACTATGTGCTAGGCATTCTACTATCTCTTTGCATGCCATCACATGCAAATGAGATAGTCCTTGTCTTCGAGAATCTTCTATTCTAATGGAAGAAGGTGACATATAAAGGAAAAGTAGGACTGGGCAGCATGCTTGGTGGCCCCTAGATTCCTTGTCTAGACTAAAATCTTACCATCTACAGAAGCCCTTTTTTTTGGTGGCTGTAATTATGACCATTCCTTTATTAGGACTGTTGAACCAAATTTTTAAACAGCCATTCATGATCAAAATTCTCTGGTTGATGAAATCAATTTAAATAGGATTGTCATGATACATGTAAAAAAAGAAAAGCAATCTCATCACAAGAGAGACATCTCCTTTTTATAATAAATAAGGCAGCAGCCAGCCATTACTCGTTGGTGGCCTTTTTAAGATATGCTATCAAGTCTGCCCTTTCTCCCTTCTTCTTAATGCCTGTGAAGATCATCTTGGTTCTAGGGATGTACTTCTTGGTATTCTCCAAGTACTCCATCAGCGTATCCTCTCCCCAGATGATACCTTTGTTCTTGTTGGCGTCTGTGTAGGAGAAGCCGGGAGACTGGCTGGTCTTCCGGCCAAAGGGGCCATTCAGGTCGGGCCCCGTCTTGTGCTTGCCCCCCTTCTCCACTGTGTGGCACTGGGCACACTTCTGAACAAAGATCTTCTTGCCCTTCTCCACGTCACCCATGGTGAGATCTGCTCTGTCGCCACCTCGGTCCAACTCACGCTTCCTCTCCAGAAGCCTTTTTTGATCCTCAATTCTAGTGCCTTTCTTCTGCTTGTTATCTTCAACTTATCCTGCATATAGCTTGTTCGTACATAACTGTTTACATGTTTCTACTCCATTAGAATATAAGCTCCTTAAGAGGAGGGACTGATTTTTGCCTTTCTTTGTATCTCTAGGGCTTAGCGGAGTTCTTTGTACATGGTTAGTGTTTAATAAATGCTTATTGACTGACTGACTGACCTGTTATGGCCCAAAGTAGGTATGATGGCTACAGCCCAGGGGATATGGTATGAACATGGCCAGAAAGTTTACCTGCTTATCTCTTTTAACTGTGTCTTTAAAAAACAAACTGATGCCTTATGTGAGATCACAATCACTAACTCTGCTTTAAAAAAATCTGCCTGAAGTGTAATGAATCTGCTTCATCCCCTCATTTTGACTCTGTGTAAATCTTTACGTCTTAAGCGTGTTATAAATAACGTAGTGCTGAATTCTGCTTTATGATCCATTTTGCTACCATCTTCCACTTCCTGGCTGAGTTCAGCCCGTTGACATTCCATTCTCTGCTTCAATCCCAGGCTCAGTTTCAGTTTCTTGGTGGTCTATAAACAGCTCTGGCCTCAGACAGACTGTCTGCTTCTTGCAGACTTCCCAGGTGGGAGTTTGTTCCATCTCCTACTGGGGCCCTGATAGGTTCCACTGGGAAGCTGGAGGTTACATTGATGTCATTCTCCCTGTCCCGCTTCCTTGTCACTGGTCTCTAGCTTCCGGTTGTCCTTTTCTTCTCTTATGGCTCCCAGTGGTCTGTGGAGTGCATGATTGGATCCTATCTCCCTATCTACTGCTATATGGGGGCCAGTTCTATCCCTGATTTTGCTTTGGCCAGCCAGGGTTGGGAGATGGCTTCAGGTCTCTGATTCCTGGTATGCATGATGGTTTGAAATGCCCCCTCCCCCTTGTTCCCTATCAGAATACTGGTGGGTTGGTTTGGGGTCCGTTCGTGGGGGCTTACACTTGCTTCTCTGGCATAAATCTTCACTTTGCCTCCTCTAGTTTCGGAACCATTTATCTACCCTCACACTGGCTTTCATAGAATAGATAGAGCCTGGCTTCTCCACTTTCTGACAAGCTTATCTGAGTTCATTCTGGCTTTCTTGGCACTCTCTGTCTCTTTGCCTCTGCTGGCTTCTTTCTACACTTATTAATAGAAAGTTATTGAAAAGGATAATTTCTATGGCTGATATCTTTCAAGGCATCTTGAATGATGTTTACAGATGGATGGGAGATACTTTGTAAAAGCTTTTGAATCAAATGCTTTTTTATTGTCAACAAACAATAAGCAAAGTGGGATGTTGTATTTTCTACATCTTTCAGTTAATTGTGAAATGGTAAAGATGTGGCCCCTTGTTGAATTTCACATTAGAAAGACTGTTTATTCCCTTACTGAGGATATCCTTACTTTATGAATGGATCACTTTCACAAAAATAATAACTAACATTGACATAGTGGTTTAACCTTTGCAAAATGTTTTTCAATATGTTAATTCAAATTCTCACAAGAACTCAGAGTTATTATCCCCATTTTACTGATGAGGAAACTGAAGTTGAGAGATTAAATGACTTGCTCAGGATCACACGGATCTAATGTCTAAGGCTGTATTTGAACTTAGATCATCCTGATTCTAAGTACCACGCTCTATCCACTACACCACCTAGCTGTCCAAAGATTTTACACTCTCATATAAGCTTTGTACTGTTAGTAGATTAGGGATATGGGTCAGTTGTAATTGGTGTTCTCTTGGTCACCTCTTTTTGCTATCTGAGAATGTCTTCCATGTTTTTGGAACCTTCTCCTCTTTCAGATACCTTGTGTATCGGCCTATCAACGTCTTAAAAGTTGTGCTGGCTCCAGCATGTATTTCTTCTATATGCTTTTGATCCAATCTGATTACTTTTTCTGTTTCGTTTTTTTAGTGACATCTCTGTCCCCTCTAAAAGCACAGCCAAGACTATGATATTTGGGTCCAGCTGTGGTGATTCCACTGTCCTTGATGGAGAAAACAGTTTGTTGTAATGATTTTTACAAATCTTTTCTTTTTTTTTTTTGTTTGTTGTCCTTTTCATATTTTTATCCTTAAATGCCCTTGGGATGACTGTGTTTAACTGGATCCCTTGTCAAGTTTTCTTTAAACTTGTTTTACCCTTTACTGCATCTTCCTGCTTTATGAGACAATGCTGCTAATAATCTTCTTTCCCACCTAGTTTTGCAAACACATACATATATTCTAGCCTGGTGTTGTTATTGGCAGTTATCTCTCCCCTGTTGCAAGTAAGTCAGATGTTTGCTGAGCAAGGTGTTTTGGGGCTCTTTTGGTCTCCTTGTTGTGGTAATTAATTTAAGCTTCTGTACAAAATTCTCATAATTATTGCCTATTTCCAATGTTTGTCAATTACTTGCTTAAATAGTTCAGAGTTGAGTTGTTTAAATTGTGTACCGTATTTTTTTCTCATTCTCATTTTTCTTGTCTTCTGCTAATTGTGGTCTTAGCTCTGAGGAGTTGATTTGTCTGACTGTACATAGACAGTTGACTCAGGGAAAACTGGCCTGTGTATAACATAACTCTTCCTGTCTATTCCACATATAATCTATTTTATTCTTTCTGCTAGTATTTGTTGTTTGGCATGTCTAGCACCTTATAATCATTTTCTTGAAGAAAATGTCTGTAATATAAAGGCGCAAGGCTTCTATTTAATTGACAAATCTTTGTTCTAATTCCTTCTTGCTGAACCATAATTTCCCATGATTTCTCCCCATCCTCACCTTTTCTTGCCTTTGTATTAAATCACCAAACATCAGAGTGTATGTTGAGCTAATTTTCAGGGCTTAATCAAGTTCTTTGTAGACTTTTTCTATCATTTCATTTTCAGCAACTGATGTTGGTGCACACACTACAATGTGAGGGATGTAAGTTCACATAGAGGAAATATATAATTGATGGAAAGTGACGGGCAAGAGCCCTAATGACAGATGAGGGGCCTGAGAGCTTCACCAGTGTCCTTGAAGGAGGCCTCTAGCTTGTCGAGTGGTTCTTCTGTGGTTGATCACTGGAGGAACACGATTAACAATAGCACAGGATGAGAAGGTACAGATGGGTTGTAATTTGCCCTGAGGAATGGAGTGTCCATACTGATGTAACCATATTTCTTTCAAAATATTGAAATACTAAGAATGTACCAAGTACCATACTTGGGACCTCTGGTTCTAGACTTTGTTCTGCTATAAGCTTGCCGTGTCCTTGGGCAAGTACTTTTTCCTCTTCTATTCCTCATTTTTTTAAGACTAGAGGGCTAGCATGGGCGATAGGTCGTCTCTTCCAGTTCCAACACTCCACCATTCTGTGAAAGGCTCACTTTGTCTTCCTGGCTTAGATTGAGAAGTTCTGCTTTTTGTCCAGTGTTAGAAGGGGTGATTCCAGAGTGGTGCTTCACCATGTGTCTAGCTTCACCTGAGGTCAATCAGCTAAGTGGGAACCCTGTCGGGCTCAGAGGCAGGAGCGTGTTGGAGCTAACAGTGGTTAAAGTTGCCTCAGAAATGGACAATGCTACGAATCAAAGCTTGATTTATTATTTTGTTGATTGTCTTAACAAAAAGTGATGGGGAAAATGTGATTGATGCAGATTAAATGAAAAAGTATGTCATGTGTACTTTTTTCCCTTTGGTAGTCATCACCCTCTCAACATTTTTGGGGAAAAGAGCTGCTCTAAACAGTTTCAGAGACGGGAACACTGGTTTTGTGAGTACTAATCGAATTAGAAAATGTAAATCAGATATAATTGGAGACCATCGGAGGAAGCCCTGCACTAAACAGGATTTGCTTTCTTGATGATCGGCTTGGTAGGAGAAAAAGGAAAAAATTGCAGAAAGCATTTGGGCTCAGATTCTTTGGGTTAACTCTGAGGGACTGCCATACTGGTCTGAGGGCATCTCATGTTCAGGGTGTGGCTCCCTGGAGGGGGAGTGTGATTTGGGGTTGGAGAAAACATTGTTTGGGGCTGAATACACTTTTAACATAGCCTCTATGGTTGGGGCTTTTTGTTGTAAACATTTTGATTTCAGATTAAATGGCCATATTGCCCCGAGGCAGCAGGTCGGGTTATCTTCTCTGAATTGTCATTTCTTAAGCACTCAAAGGATGCCACAAATGACGTGTCATGTATTGAGGCAGTCCAGTGGACCTTGTGTGACTCTCCTGGACCCTGGGGTTAGCAAGATGTTGCTTGGTATTCCTTTCTATGTAATAACATAAGGAAAACTTCAAATAGAAACCTGGATTGTTGTTAGTGACCTTCTGGTTGCAGTACTCATCTTTCCCTTTCCTTTTTTTTCCTCCCCTTGACCCTTTTCCCTTTGAATTTTTCATTTCATTTCTTCTTCTTCCACTCAAAGACCTCACCAAAGCCCTTGGCACTATAAAATGGTTTAAATGAAATGGGCTTATCCATGGCAATGAAACTGAAGGAAATTCATTACCATCTAGTTTGCCACTTCATCCTAAGTTCTATGGGGTTTTTCCATTATCCCTGAAGTTGAAATTGTCTATATCTGTTATCTCTTTCTATTAGAACATGAGCACCTTATTTTTAACTGTCTTTATTTTTTATTTGTATTCCCAGTGTTATAACTGCTTTTTGCATTCATTTGATCAGATGCAATATACTTTGCTGCTTTTCAAATATTTAGTTTGTCTACCCATTCATTCATTAATTGATCCATCCATCCATCCATCCATCCATCCATCCATCCATCCATCCATCCATCCATCCATAATCAATTAAGCAGCAAACATTTATTAAGTGACTACTATGTGCTAGTTTTGGATTGTAGTCTTTTCCAATTAAATAATTTACTGTCAATGTGGTTGCTAACCTTGATGCCATTTTTGCCCTCATTAAAGGTATCACACTAGAA